AATTTTGCTACTGTTATGAATCAGGTGACCTCTGTGAAGGGGTCGTTCCACCCCCAGGTTGAGAACCGCTGTGTTAAGCTAGTGTAGATGGTGCATCACTGCCCCTCACTCACCTAGAGTCCAACGAGCAGTCTGCTGTCACCCTTAGCTCTGTTGCTCTGTACGCCACGCAGGTTTCTTGTAAGTTCCCTCTATCGCTGACTTTGAGTTGCTGTTTTCCTCGTGCTCCTTGTATTTGTGGGGGGGTTGAACTCTGTTGTTATAGTTTTTATTCCATTTAGGACTTTGGGGAGGCCATTGTTGTGAATTTTGTCCCCCCGAAATGTGTGTTGTCCACCTGAACCCCTATGCCTGTGGTGATGGTCCCGTCTGAGAGTCTGCGTGTCGTGTTGATGCGGCAGGGCTAGTTAGAGCCCACAGGAGTCAGCATCTTCAGAGGCATGAAGGGGGTGCAGTGCAAGCTCGCAGAGGAGCAGAGAGATGGCACGCCACAGGAAGCCCCTCGGGAGCAGAAGCCCAGAGGCCAAAGAGCATCTTCCAGAGCTGACCCACAGGGAACGCCTCCCGGAGAAGAGGACTCGAAAGGCTTCCCGATGAAGATCAGAGCCTTCGGCCTTCAGGATGGATTCCAACTGACTGTCAAGAACATATAAATCCCTACAGATGGGCCAGCCAACAACAGAATGAACAGAGAGGGTTTTGATGTCAAGGGTTTCACTGCAATGGATTCTGCAGGCGAGTCTCGTGGACGCAGTCAGGAAGGCACACGTCCTGTTACACGGGGTAGCTGCTGCCCAGGACCGATGGACAGTCCCCAAGAGCAGAGATGGCACTGGAGGACTACGGTGCGCTAAGCCTGAGTCAAAGGCCTGCGGATGCGGGTGGTCCCATAGCTATGGGAAAGCAGGACAGGACTTAGGAAGACGGGGAGCCCTCCATGCACTTGCATTCCGGTGTCGGGCAGAATACTGAGGAAGTCCACCCAGCGTGCTCCTTCGGAGAGGGGAGGGTGAGGCTGTTCCATGAACTGTGGACCCCGGGAGAGGCCAGTCCTTGGGAAGGGCATCATAGGTAGTCAGACGGAGGGTCAGTGACAGGAGGGCACTCCTCGAGCAGCTGGACCGGCCCTGCGGCTGCAGCAGTGGGCCCAGCTGTAATAGCAGCTGCGAGGGAGGGTGGCACAGGCCCGGACCATGTTCAGTGTGCCCTACGTACACTGGCATGATAAGGCAGAACTGACGCGGCGGCTCCGCACGATAGCCTTCTAAATGGTGAGAAACAAATCTCTGTGGATGAAGGTCACGCACGTTGATACTTTTGTTAAAACAGAACTAGATGACCAAGACAGCCTTTATGCAAATATATTTGCCCCTCCTCTTTTGGGGACCCCATTCCCATACGTGTTAGGCCACCCACGTGAAGCTCTGACCTGATTCTGTGATTCTCTTGTCACGCCGCCCAGACGGAAACTGGTCATAACCTTTTCAGTATAAAAACTTCTACCTCTGCGCAATCAGTTTTTAAGGTGTGCGTTCCCCACGTATGTTCAAGAGACATGTCTAGGCTGGGTTCAGACCCTCTGGATGCTGTGATTTTCCCTCCAGGCCATCTGTCCCTTTACACAGCAGCTCCTGCACAGGGCCTGCGTGTCAGAGATGATCAGCTGGCAGAAGTCAGTCCCAGATGTCTTTAATCTACCGGTTTTGGGGTTCCTTTTCTCCCCTTTCCTTTCAGATCCCCCCTTCCCCCACCCCCGTGTATTTCTGCCTGTGGGGTGGGGCTGTGCAAGGCCAGGCCAGACGTCTCTCTCTTCTCCCCCAGATTGGCATCAGTACGATGACATCATTTGCATGAGGCCTCCTGGGAAGTTCCGGAGGCTGTTGGATAACTTTACGGACAGAACAAGGAAGGACCTGGTGAAGGGCAAGCAGATCGCGGCCAGAGTCATGCTGGACAGCATCTTCAGCATCCTGCAGACCTGGGACGCCGTCAATCTGAGGAGCTTTCTCACCCAGCTGCGGCAGTTCTTTGCCGTTGCCCGAGAGCCGGTCGTCTACGAGGGCGGACCCCAGCCGTGGAGCGCACTGCACTACGGAGAGCAAGAGGTGCTGCTGCCGCTCAGGGCTTGTTTGGGAGGCAGAGTGGTGGGATGGCCCCTCTGGGGGGCTGCTTCTGCCCCTGGTGGGCTTGTGTCCCACCAAGAGGTCGGTGGTGGGAGGGCTCCTGACCCCTCTCGATGGACTGAGCCCCACGCTTCCTGTGTCTCCCCTCCCTTGTGGGCTCAGGTGAAGAGTGACCTGTGGGCGTACCTGAAAGAGAAAATGGCTCTGATTCGGAGAAAGGACGCTCTGCCCGACGACTGGCCTGTGAGGAGCGGGCCGAGGATGGGCCTCATTGTCCTGTTCGCGATGGAAGAGTTTTCGCTCCCCGTGCCGAGCCCTGACCTGTCCTCACTGTGCACCCTTTTCTGCGCCGACGTCAGCTCGCCAGATGGACTTCGCAGAGACTTACAGCCCATCGCTGGAGCATCCTGGAGGTAGTGTTTTTGTTGTTAAAAGGTTTTGTAGCCACTTAGGGGTTTATCTCACTAGACAAATAAATACTTGTCACAGAATGGTTCCAGACACACAAAGAATTCATAAGGTCACCTACTCCACCCACTGTTGCCATTTCAAAATCGATCCCTCCAGCCTTCCCACCTGAAGCTATGCTGTGTTCAGTTGTATCACCCGCCGAATGGCCTGCTTCCCCCCCGTGGGTGTCATGAAGAACCTCCATGTGCGTGTGTTGTCTGTGGAAGTCTCACTAGACGCCTTAGCAAAGAGACAGAGTTCTCCCTCCACCCGGGGTGGGTCCCTGAGGCCCGGGCTCTGCTGAGCCGGGAGATGCCCATCTCAAGGGCGCTTGCACGACCCACCCTCAGATTGGAGCTCTGATGCTTTAGAGGGTCTTTTGTCTCATGTTTTCTGCGGCTGTGCTTGACTGACGCTTGAAAGTGAGACGATGTGGCCTTCCCTGGGCAGCAATCTTAGTTTTCTAAACATGCACGAACAGCTACAGACTGTGCAGAAGGCAGTGGGGGCTCAGCGGTTGAGACTTGACAGTCCCAGGTTTGATCCTCGGCCAGTCTACCTCTTGCACGGGCACTGCCCCTCCCCGCCCTGGAGGCTGGCACGTGGCTCTGACGCCAAACAGGCTTTAGCAGAGCTTCCAGACAAAGTCAAACAAAGAAGAAAGGCCTGGTGATCCATTCCCCAAAACTAGCCATTGAGAGCCCCACGGATCACGTGGTTGCATCCCATTGTGCATGAGATCAGGGACCGCTAACAGCAGCACGCGCTGCCCAGGTCGAAGGGTGGATCCATGGGACGTGCGATCGGACAAAGCGTGGACCAGGACTTCAAAGTGTGAAGAAGCAGGAGCCGGTAACGGCAGGAAGGATCACATGCAGTGCCTGTAGGTTTGGCCGTCATATTGAAGGAGTGGCTTTATCTCTGGATTTACTGTTGCCGGACTGCCCAGGTTCAAACCCCAGCTCTGCCAGCTAGAGTCCTGGAACACCATTTTGCTTCTCTGAGCCTTGATGCCTCAACTGCCACATGAGGACACGAATCAACCCTTCGGCCTTTGTCGTGGGTCTTCGGTGGGCTAGCACTTCGGTGCCTGACACAGGGGGTGAGCCCCAGAGGACACCCTTCTCCCAGGCAACCTGCTGAGAAGACCTGCCCCCCACGTTCTTGCTGGTAGGGTTCCTACGTATTAGCAGCCATCCCGCGCCCCGCGCTCTGGGCACACAACACCACCTTCCTGGTGCGACTTCAGGGCCCTGCCACGCTCAGCTCACGGTGGCACACCTTCTTCCCTCTCTAGCTGCAGAACATCCTTGGTAGACCTGTGCCAGCTGTGCATGGACAGAAGGGTAGACTCCTGGATCCTCACGCTCCCCGTGCTCCACCACTGTGTGGGGCTGGCCCCGCAAGGGAAGGACATCCCTCCTGAGGACACGTGGGCAGTCCTCGAGGGCCTCTGCTTCTCTGAGTTCCGGGAGAAAAGATCAGGCCAGTAAGTACGCCCTTCTACCGTCATTCTTGTGATAATGCGTCAGAAAGGGTGCTTCTGAGCACGCTAGCCCATGTGATCCACGGGCTGTGAATAATGAACCCCACACCAGGAGAGGGCACAGTATTGGAGTTTCCATTCTGAGCACCCAGGTGGCCGGGGTCCGTGGATGACAGTGAAAGTCCAAAATCGATTTGCAGGGTCCCCCTGGGGACAAAGCCTCCGTGACTCCCCTCCGAGCACTGCCCAGGGGTGTGAGCAGAGCCTCCGAGAGCACGCTGGAAGGCTGACTAGCACAGATGCAGTTAGGTAAATGTAAAACCTCATTATCTGTTCTCCCTTTGGACCCATTTCAAATTTGTCTGGTTTTTCTTATTTTCTGTTATCTTTTCAATCGAGGTCTTTCTCTGTCTCATTGTATGGTTGTCGCTTGCTGTTGTATGTCTTTCTGCATATGAAATCCAGGATCAGCGAGTGTTGGCGACGGTAACTGGGTTAACAGTTTCTTGGAGTTACGGCAGGGGAGACTGGGGGAAATTGGGAGCTAATGACAATGAGTACCAGAGAGAAGGAAATGTTTTAAAACTGTTGTAGTGATGATTGCACGCTGCTTTTTAATACACTTAAACTATTGAATTGTATGCCAATTAAGCTGTTAGCCTTTTTAAAATCAGAGCTGCTTCTGAGATCCTGGGTGGACCTATGTATGATAGGTCCCGAACTCCCATGTCTAATTATAGAGTGACAATGCTTTTCTTTTAAGCTTTGAAACATAACTGAAATAAAGAATCGAACATTGACTGGCAGTCCGAGATCACCAGTGTTCACGTTTTGGGCAGATACATTTCTAGGCTTTGGTCCAAGTGTGGGTGGTGGGGCCTGATGGGCTAAAGCCCCCCCTGCCCCCCCACTCCCCCAAGTCAGACGATTTCTCTGTTTTTCAGCAAGCTCTGTTTGCATTATAGTCTCGTGACGACTGTTTTCATCTAATGGGTGCTGGGTCTCTCTTTTAGAGACTGCCCCGCCCACCCCCCTCACTTTCCCACATTTCATTTAGCTGATCCCTGATTCCTAGGGATTGGGATCGTTTGCATGATTTCACTGGGGGAAGCAAGCTCGGCTGCATGTCCACCTGTCCAGTCACTTCCGTAGGACGGGCTCCGGGGCGTGGACGCGCCCGGTCAGGCTGTGCGGCTGTGAGGGGCTCACGTGCTCTCGCCACGCTGCCTGCACGCCCCCTGCTGCGGAGTCCCCGCCGGCTCCTGGTGACGCCGGAGCACCGACTCGATCTGTCCCAGGGCTCCTTGCAGGACAGTGAAAGTGGAGGGTTTTGCAGGCTCGGTCCTGGGGTTGACAAGAAGGGCGTGGAGGCTGACAGAGATTTGCCCACTCTGTTTATCGTCGGAGGCAGACCCCATCCGGGGGAAACACTGGCTTCCATGGGGTGACAGCGACGTCGGGCTGCAGAGCGGGTTTCCCTGGCATTGCCGCCGAGTTCCTTACGGAGCAGCCAGGAGTCTAGTGTTTGGCCAGACCACTGGGAACTAGAGCCTAGCTGGCTGATGTCAAACACAGTATAAAAGAAGAAAAAAGATCAATTTCGATGTAAAGACGAGGTATAACTACATTAGAATTCCACACAAAAGCATTGGTACTTCTGTTCTTTTCCAAGCAGAGGGAACATTCCCCCACTAACTTGTCCTAGCAGTGGACTTAACGTTGTGCTGTCCTTCAGGCACAAGTGGCCTTTTCTGTTCAGTGGACCTTTATCTATATAGTTGCGGTGGCCTCTGTCACTTCAGCGGCACCCTGCTCTTGCTGTCACCCTTTGGGGGTGCCCCGGGCAGCGGCCCGCTGCAGTCGGCGTGGTTCACTGCGCTCACGTGGTTGGTTTGGTCCAGGACGCACAGCCACTCGCTCATCAGCGTGCTCAGTCCTCGGTGAGCTCTCGCTGCGCTGTTTACCCCTCTGCCGAGGTGCTCGTTTGTGCTCCCTACTCGACAGGGAGCTGACGCTGAAGGGCCGCACTCTCTACGTCCTTCTTTAAGAAACAGCTTTGCTGGGACATAGGCCATAAACCCTACAACTCAGTAGTCCAGTCGTATCGAGAGGTGTTGGACCGTCATCGCCACAGCCAAGTTCAGAACACCTTCTTCCTTGTGATTCGCTCCCTACCTCCCAGCCTCCCCTGCCACACCGCAAAGGAGCCATTGAGCCAGTTACCGTCTCTGTGAGGCCACTCAGCTGGGGTTTCGTGTACTGAAAAACTTGCAAAACCAAGCAAAAAAGCTAACAAGAATAACAAAATAAAGTAGAGAAACACCTCAATTGGGATGAAAACTGAAAACTAGAACAACGTTGAAAGAGATCACAAGGGAGACCAAAGGGTGAGGTGCGAAATGTTAACCTGACTTCGTTTCCCATCCTCCCCCCCCCAGGGCACCCAGCCTGCAAGCCGGGGGTCACCCCCCGTCTGTGCTCAGAGAGGATTCACGGGCAGGCGGCTTCATCCACGGGGGTTTCCCCTTCCCTTTTTTTTAAACGGATGCAGCTTTGGTCAAAAGGGGGATGGAATAAGCTGTGGCAGTCTAAGCTAACGGTATCGACTCTAGCTGCCTCTGCAACACCGTCTGGGAGCAAGGCTATTCACACCCGTGAATGAGGATCAGAGGGGATTCACCGGAGGGGCTTCAACTGTGTGTGGACCCTGCAAATGGACACAGGCCCTCACGGTTTGCGCTCTGATACTACCCCTCCGTTGGGTGATGTGGGCTACATTATTCACAATCCTGGGCTCTGCCGTTGAAGCGCTGAACTCGTTAGATCTGGTCCCACATCGTATCCCCTACACCTCGGTTCAGCCTGTTCACTGACCTCGTGTCCACTCTCTCTTCCGGGCCGTGTTCCCTTCTTGTCCAGGAACCCGCTGCTTCCGCTCATGGAAAAGCACCAGTGTTTGCTGACAGTGGATGACCGTCTGTTCCGATCCTGGTTCAGTCTGCTGCCTCTGTGTGAACTGAGTGACTACATGGGGTCCGTGGTTGAGAATTTGATGGCGTCCCCTGCTCGCTTCCTGGAGTGCTTCCAAGGGGTTTACTACCGCCTTCGAAGACTCCAGGAAATCTCGTACAGACACCAGGAGGTTTGTCCTTAGTTGTGGGTCCTGGCTGAGCAACGCTGACTGAAAGCCAAACACTTTGGGTTGGCAATTCTTCTTTTTAAATCTGATGGGGTGCCGCATTTAGAAAAGGGGGGGCAGCAGCAGAGGTCACCCTGTGCAGGGCTACACGGTTAGGTCAATGGCGCTCATTTTATTGCCCAAAATAGAGGTCAGTAAAAGTCCCCAGGGACAGCACACCAACTCGACCTGTGGCGGAGTGTGCCGGAGGAAGGCGCTGTGCTCCCAGGCTGCCCCTGGCTGGTTTCCCGGCCTTCTGCTCAGAGGCACCTGTGGGTGGGTGCCCTTCGGCCGCCTCGCAGCAGCTGAGTGGGTGGCCATCTGCCTCCCTGGGGTTACTGATGAGCATGCAACAGGCCCAGGAGTTACAGGAGGGCCCACAGAGCACTCTCCCGGCATAGAAGGCACCCCGGGCATCAGGGACCAGCCACCGATACGGCGCTGACCGTGCCGTAGCAGCAGGAGGCCTCCTTGCCGAAGGCTCAATGGATGGCGTGCGCTGCATCTTTCTCAGCTTTGTCGTAACAGGAAGAGCGGTACTTTTTAAAACTTTATTTCTTGTTGTTTTCCTCTTCCTCACCACCCTAGGGCATTGACAAAGTTTTCAAAATGCTGTTGCACCTTCTGGATGCGAATTTGAACAAGTAAGTAGAGAAGCAGAATGTGCTCTCTGCCGGTCACCCCGCGGTTCCGGGGGTCTCCGCGGCTGCTCCTCCTCGGGCACAGTGCCCCACATTTGCTGTTACCATGTGTGTTGGGTGCTGTCCAGGCCAGCCTAGCTCCTCGTGACCCGATGTGGTCCCCCGATGGCATGTCCACACTGCCTGAGAGGGAGTGTGGCCCCTCAGTTCTGAGGCGCATCTCAGCTGTCCTTCCCCGAGATGGAGGCGCTTGTGCTTCCGGAGGTTCAGGGTCCTTGCAGGATTCTTCTTTAACACCGTCATTCGGACACATCCGTTTTCCCCTGCCTTCCCTCTGCATCCTCCCGACCTCACACCCCTGTGAACGGAAGCAGGTGGCCCTGGCCGCACAGTGTCACCTTTGCTCTGTGCATAGGTCCCGGGCGGCAGCTTGGCCATCGGTTACACGTCATCCAATTCCTTGACTGCTGTTTCCGATCACTGAGTGTAGAAGCACGGGGAACGAAACCTTTGCCGGCTCCGATTTTGTCTCCATCCATCACGGTGTTGTCCGCTGGTGCCCTTCGGAGGGTGCTGGTGTTGTTTAGTGGGGATGATACCGTCCATGCTAAAGGCCAGGGGCCCTCAAACTTTTTAAATAGGGGGCCAGTTCACTGTCCCTCAGACCCGTTGGATGGCCGGACTATAGTTTTAAAACAACAACTATGAACAAATTCCTATGCACACTGCACATATCTTATGTTGAAGTAAAAAAACAAAAGGGGGAAAAACACCCGGCGGGCCGGATAAATGTCCTCGGCTGGCCGCATGTGGCCCTCGGGCCGTAGTTTGAGGACACCTGCTAAAGGCTGTCTTTGATTTTTACCAGCAAGTGCTTCACGTACTCTCGACTTCCAGCAAGCAAGGGTGCGTCTGCTGCAGGCTGTGAAGGAAACTTCTTCCTCTCCTGATGCGGCCTTTTCTTTCCCATGGTCCAGCTTCCTGGACTGACTGCTCCACGCAGAATGAGCAAGCCCGATGAAAGGACAACACCCTTTTAAACCAGCCGCCTCCCCTCCTTCTGCCTGCATGCCCGTCTCTTGGTCTGTGTCCCGGTTCACAATGCGGACCACCGTGTGTTATCTTCCACACGGCGAGCGCCTTCACAGGAGGCTCATACATCAACACGCCTCCTCATGTGTGGACTGTCTCGCTACCCAACACTCATTTCACATTCCCTACAGGGGCAAAAAAATGTGCCAAGGAATGATTACACCTGGTGGGGACCAGTGCCAAGCTGGGAGTGGGCGGCACTGCCGGCCGTGCTGGCTAAGGGTGTTGGCGTGGCTGCGCCATGATTCCCACGACCTGGCAGCTGCGTCACAATCGTGTTGTTCCTGGGGCCGTCAGGAAGTGGGGGAGTGTGGCGGCCACACCCCCTCCTTTCTGCGTTATTCAGGTAGCACCCCACTGAAACAAGAGGGTGACGAAGTGGTGTGGGGGCCGTGGCTGACCGCTGGCGGAGAATCCCACTCCACCCCAGCCCCGAGCTGATTTCTCTCAGCAGAGCCGCCCAGACCTCTGCCCTCCGACCTTGCCCTGCCCTGACCCCAGCTCTGCTTCCCTGCTTCTCCCGACAAGGGGACTTGGAGGTGGAGCTTACTGCGGGATCAGATAGCGTCAGGGACACGGTGCTCTTGTCCATAGCTCCTCTTCTCAGCCATGGTGACAGGCTTGCCTCGCTTTGGTCCTCAACCTCTCAGCCCCGTGGCCCTTGACCTCTGCCCTGCCAACTGTGACAAAGCTCCTTCAGCACTGATAGATGCCCAAAGCCCCCCTGCCTGAAGGCGCTCAGCGTCACTCATTCTGTGGACTGGCAAGCCTGACCGTGTGTCTCATGCTGCCACCGCCGTGCCCACTTCTCTGCGCCGCCGGGGGCTCAGATGTGCTTAGCGCTCGTGGTTCTTGCACCTGGGAGGTCATGAGAGTCTCTGCTCTTCTGAGATAGCTCACTTTGTACCCAGTGAAATGGCAAGACTGTCCAGTCCCCTCACTGGAGTCCTCTGCGCCTTATGCTGCATGCTCCCACTTGGTCCTTTTGGGGGTGGGGTGGGGGTCGCAAAGAGTGAGAGATGGGCCACAGCCAGCAGTCTGCTTCAGCACAGAGGGGAAGCGAGCCAGCGTCAGCTGCCAGGATTCTGGTCCGTGTCCATCTGTCCTGTGCATTCACGTCCACCTGCTTTTGTAGGATGAGCGTCTGCTGTGTTGTCACGGACTCTGCTTCTCGTTAGCGTGTGGCCTTCACCTGCCTTTTCCAAGGCCAGTCAGTTGAGAAGGAAAACCAGAGGTGGCGTCATAGAACGGCCTACAGTCATTGGCGCCTGCAAGCGTATGTGGTTTCTGACGCCCTGAGTGGACTTTAGGGAGTCGTCTGGGCACAGCGGTGGAGCAAGCGCTCAGGCTGCCAACCCAGAGGTTGGCCATTCGGACTGTCCGCAGCTCGGCAGATGGACGTGGGGCGGCTTCCGTGGAGTTTACAGCCTGGGGCTCTCGGGGCACTTAGCCTCTGTTGCAGATGGGTGCTGAGTCGCCATCGGTTCACCGGCAACAGATGATTTCAGAAGGGACCCCGCACAGAGAGCAGACCTGTAAGAATATCAAGATGGGAGATGGAACACTTTTGGTGATTCTTGAAGCATTTCTGGTGGGACTCCACCTGGACCCCTGGATGGTAAGGGTGCAGGTGGTGGTGTGAAGCCTCACTCACCCGAGGCACCTGTGACCATTCAGGAGCCTCCTCTAACATGGTGGCTTGCCCAGTGGGAACAGGGCCCCTTTCTGGTCCCACAGCCACGCCCTGATTCCCAGCACTTCCCTGTGCCCGGTCGGTGGATGAACATGGAACCCTCCGCCTTCATCCAAGACATCCCACCCTCAGCATGGGTTCTTGTAGGAGAGCGCCTCATCTAACTCTTGAGCACTGGAAGGTGGTTTTGAACTGCTGATCTTGCAGTTAGCAGTGCAACGAGAAACCCACCAAGCCACCAGGGCTCCAGAACCTAGGGTTCTTTGTTCTGGTTTGTTCTTTCCCCTCCCTGGGACTCTCGCGAAGGCACGGCGGGCTGTTTGTCCGCTGTGCACTGCAGGTTCAGCAGGTCGGCCTCGCCAGGTGCTCTGGGAGAGAGCGGCCAGGTGCTCTGGGAGAGAGCGGCCAGGTGCTCTGGGAGAGAGCGGAGGCCTTTTGCTCCTGGAAAGCTTTCTGGTCTTGGAGACCCACAGGGACTGTGGGCTGCCGTGAGTCAGAATAGGTTTCGATTGATGGTCTGTTTGTTTATTATATCTTCCAGAATGATTTCCTCCCAAATGTATGTCGTAGTTTCACTGTTAGGAACGTCTGAGGAAATGCCCTTGGGCTTCATAGTAGGAAGGCAAATCCAACTCCACATCTCCCTGCGCATGACTTCTGTGCGGCACGGGCTCCATCCCCCATCCTTCTTTATCTCATTCTGACATCAAACGTCCCAAGCACTCCGCTTCTCTTCTGGGTGATAATGCCCTCTGATGGTCACACACAACTCCGAGACGAGAGTCGTGGTTGTGTGGGTTTATCAGGGAAGTGAACAGGTTATATCACAAGTCGGAAGCAGTGACCTTTAAGGATGCCCTCGTTGGCTCTCTGCCTCTCAGCCACGTGGCTCCTGGGCCGCTGCCCTGCCACAGCACGCGTTCTAAAGCTCGGTCAGCACCAGAAAATGTCCAAAGGGCCCCACACTGCGGCCACTCTCCTGCCCAAAGGCACTCAGCTTTACTGTCCTGTGAGCTGGGGAGTCTGCTGCTGTGCCTCGGGGTCTCGGCGCTGCTGCTTCTGGTGCCTCGGCTGGCAACCTTCTCCCCTTTGGGCAGGGGTCTTACACACACTCTGCTGATGGTTGTGGGATTACCCGGCCTGATTCTGAGCCGTCTCGCTTTCATACCCCACAGAATGGCAAACTGGACCCGTCCCCAAGGTCGAGCCCTCTACACCTTATTTGCATGATCTCGCCCCGTCATTTTAAGGGCGTTTCAAAGACTGGCTAGCACAGCCATACTAAGCTCATGGGAACGTGGTCTTAAGAGAGCACGGAGCGTCTTCATTGACACGGTGGAGCATTCCTGCACACCCTTCACTTTTTCCCCCAATTAAGGAAGTGTACGTGGAAACATTTTTACACACACTGACGTTCCCAGAGCAGTTCAGACAGGCTGCAGAGGCGAGCCAAGGAGAGTTGTTCCTTTTTCAGCGTCATCACAACTTCAGGTCTGATTGGGATTTTCGAGATGCTACTATCTATGGGGCCAAACGAATGCATTTTGGGTAGTTGAAAACCAACCCCGTTGCCATCAGTTAGATCCCGACCCATACAAGCCTGTAGGACAGAGTAGACTTGCCCTCACCGGGTTTCCAAGGCTCTGGTCTTCAGGCGGGCGTCCTGCAACATCGTTCTCCTGCACAACAGCCGGGCATTCAAACTGCTGGCCTTTTGGGTTGCAGCTGAATGCTTTACCCACTGCACCACCAGGACTCCTTTAAATGCCTCCCTTGGTGTTTTGAAGGGAAGGAGCTTGTCATTGCAATGAGCGCTGTGTCCTCGGCTCTCCGCGGCCAGTCATCTCTCTCCACTCTTTGCGGGCAGGGCTCCGGAGGGTCCCGTCTTTCAGTCCTACCTGACCATCTGCCTGAAGCTTCACGAAACCGTCTGTGAGATCACCAAAAGTGAAAAGTTTTACGAGATCCCCGTCCTGTCTGCAGAGATGATTAGCAGAATCGTTGCGCTTCAACCTCTCGTGGTAAGTGGCACAAAGCCACGTGATGGCGCCCCCAGGACAGCTGTGGAGCTTCAAGCAGCCTCCGTGGACGAGGGAGGCCGAGCGGGTTCCCAGGTCTAGGGCTCCTGAAATGAGGTGGAGTGGTGGCTCCGTTATCCAGGGCAGGTGGTCCCCAGGTACTCAGAGTTGTGACAGACTGCACCTGTGACTGCTTTTCACACCTTATGGTTGGCAATAGTACTACACACATTGTTGCCGCACGGAATGTGCTGATGTTATCAATCACGTGCCAACTGCCAAAGATCTGATCTATAAAGATACGGATGATAATAAAAGGCCATGGTAATGAAGCCTAACGAAAAACAGAGGTGTGTGATTCACGTCAGAAGCGTGAGGAGCAGAGCTCGTTCATGCACGGGGGCTGCTGTCTTTATGGAGGACCAGTGAAAGGGGCCCGGGCCCCTGTCTCCCTGGGGCTCTTCAGGAGGAGATTACCGTGCACATGGGGGTGCATTTGATGGCCGTGCGGACAGGGACACAGAGAGCTGTGGGGGTCCAGGTTTGCTGTTAGACCAGGTGGCCGGGCAGCCCGGGAGGCCTGTGATGAGAAGGAGGTGAGAGTGGTTTACCGGTATCAGCAGGAGGTGGCGGATGACCAGGTGGTGCTCTGGGCAGGGGGGGGGGGTGTCACTAGGTTCTGACTTGAATGATGTGCGTCATGGCCCTCCAAGGGGGTGGGTTTGGTCTTACATGTGCAATGCGAGTTGGTGTCTAGTGGACAGGTGGGTCCAGGCAATGAAGAGTACAAGAGCGTCAGACGTGAGGGCCTGGCTCAGGCTCTGGGCGGTAGGGGGGCGGATGGAAAACTGACTTTGTAACATGGTGGGACTGCAGGGTGGCCACCTCAGGAAGTCCGGGTTTCAGGGGACCTGGGTGGCACTTCCGGCTGATGTCTGAACCGTTCGGTGGAGGCCTAAGAAAGGGAGTGGCCTGAGCAGAGAGCACGGATACAGGGAGGCCCGAGCCTAGAGTGTGACCATTTCCTGGTGCAGTTAGCAGTTCTGGGGGACACCTTGGTCCTCTGTGTGACTCTAGGTCTTGGCCGGGAACTGAGGACAGGCAGACACCCCTGGATGGAAGATCCCACGGAACTCAGAGCCCCACAGACTGAGTAGTTACCAGAGCGAGGTCAGGCCTTGGGTGCAGAGAGGAGGGGCCATGTGAGTGCCAGGCCCCTGGAGGAGGAGGGGTGGGGATAGGCCCTGGTGGGAAGGGGAGTGTTGTGGGCACTTGGGGAGGTGAGAGAGGGGAGTGGAAGGAGCGGGCCTTGGGCTGCCTCCTAGGTGACTGGCTGGCTCATGTCCCTGGGGGACTTTGTCTATAGACCAGTGGAATCTGCACACATGCTCGTTTGGGGTCGCCTGGGCTACAGCTGCTGGGGTGCTTCTGTCCGTGCCCATCCAGAGGAAGAATGCCCCCTTTCCGCCAGCGCCCAGGGCCGTGAGCTTACTGGGGAGGCCTGGCTACCTCTGCTGTTACCAACCCAACCAAGCCCGCGCACTGCCGTGGTCGATGCGACTCACAGCGCCCCCTGTGGGTTCTGAGCCTGTCACTGTTGACGGGAGGAGGAAGCCCCGGTGTTTCCCCCAGGAGCTGCTGCTGGTTTGGACCACGTGGCTCGCAAGCCAACGCAGAACTGCTCCACCACCGAGCTGCCCGCTTTTATCAAAGCCCCAGAGAATGCATGCCACTCGGACTCTCCCCGGGTCCCCACACTTCCCACCGTCACATGCAAGACCCAGCATTCTGAGACCGTGAAACACAGAAATCACCCTCGCTGACTCCAACTCACAGAGACCCTATCGGGTGCGGCCAAGCTGCCCCTAGGGGTTTCCGAGATGGTGGCTCCTGTGGAGCCTCATCTTTGTCCCTTGCAGTGGCTGCTGGTTTTGAACTGCCCATGCTGTGGTTAGCGGCCCAACATGTAACCCACTACTCCCCCAGGGCTCCCTCAGGAGTGTTACAGTGCTTTAAAATGTAGACTTTCACCACCCTGGAGGTAGGTCGGATGATCCGGGAGGAGGCCAGAGGGTGGCATCTCCTTGGAAACCTACGTCTACTGCTCGCGAGAGCAATTAAACTTGCTCTCTCCCATGATCGCAGGACTCGGCAGAAGCGCAGGGCCACGGCCCCGGAAAGAAGGACTCCGTCCAAACGCTGTTCCAGGGCACTCTCACTGCGACGAGGCGCTGGCTGCAGCGCAGTTTTACCAGGAAGATGCTCCAGAATTTCTACCCTTCCCTCGTCTCCTTCTCTTACCCCGAGGAAATGAAGGTGAGTGTGGTGGGTGCAGAGGTACTGCTGGAAGTGCCTGAGGAGCAATGTGGTCTGACGGCACAGGTCCACATCCCGAGAGTAGAGGCCACACGGGACTCTGGCCCAACTCCCACTGGTGCTCCGGACAGTTTGAGGCCAGGAACGAGCCTTCCTCACCTGAGAAGTCCCCATCTATCAGAGGGACTCAGCGCTTTGTCTGACCAGGTGTCTTAGGGTTCATGGAGATCTTGGTGCAGAAAGCTTGCCCTGTAGCCCCTGACCCCCCATGGTCCCTGTGATGGTGGTGCAGTGCTGTGGGTGCCGACCGTGGCTTTCAGGGTGATGAGCTAGGGTGTGGCTTTGAGAACGGAGGAGAAAGATGAGACCGTGAACTATCTGAGAGGCAAGCAGACATCCGGGGTTACTTCTGGAGGAGAGAGGTCCACGTTGGCAGTGAGGACTCTCAGCAAGCAGGGTGCTCAGCAGCGTCATGTGCTACAGAGCTGCAGGGATGGAGGAGGCGATGGGGCTGTTGGGTTTGGTCGGGGCCAGAGGAAAGCCCCTGAGCGTCAGTTGGCAGGAGGGAGGAGGTGCTGGGTGGAGCGAGAGCGGAGGGCGGTGCAGGCGAGGAGAGATTCCTGCCTGTGTTCGTTTCTCTCGGTAAAACGCACAGTGCTCGACAGCTCTCCACGCAGCTGAGCTTCCAGTTGATTGGATAGACCACAGACTCCACCTAACGTCATCTTGCCCCTGCCCGTGGCATGCCTCACGGGCTCCAGTGTCACACAAGTCGGTGGCTGTGTGCCGTGTGCGAGCTCGGCTTTGTGGTGTTGACGGAGCCCCTCAGTGGGCTACCACCACGCTCCTCTGCAGTGAGGTGGTTCCCTTGTGAATCGGGGCCGCTTACCCCTCACTCCGATCATGGAGCCCCTGTGGCTCTTCCTCCTGGGGGGCTGGGGACCAGTGCAGTCAGCATCCTGTCTCTGGAGGAGCGGGGACAGAGTTGACGGCCAACTTCCAGCCTTTTCTGTGCCTGCTGCAGGCCCCCGGTCTACCTGTGTGCCAGGGCCTCTTGCCCATGGAGATGCTGCAGCTGTCAGGGGCCGAGTTTGGTGTAGGCGTGTAACACAGCACCTGCTGCCACCCCAGTCCAGTCACTGACATGAGGTTTATCACGTGCTTCCAACATCAGACTTCCCTAGTCCCAGATGTCCCTGTCCCCTGACGGATCACACAGTGTCCTCGTGGTGCCTCAGGGCTATGGCTTTTGCAGGTCTGGAGCCGGCTGGTGGAAATCCACTTTGCTGTGGACGATGGCTGGAAGGAGGCGCTGCTGGGAGACATGGAAGGGAGGCTCAAACAGGTACCAGCATCTGGGGGTGCTCATTTAGAGGGTGAGGGGAAGAGGGATAAAAATCAGACCATCAGTAACAACAAGTCCACAGGAGTCTGCACTTGAACGGAAAGCCTCCCTGTGTGCGGGCAGGAAGCCGTGTTTCCATTTCTGACCTGGGCTCGGTGATCCAATCCCAGCCCAGGTTTCAGAGGTGGGTCACGATAGTCCAGGAAATACCTTGACTCTTTCTCTTCATTTTGCCACCAGACATTGGTTTTGACAGGATATGAGCTAGCATGACAGGTAACCATTGGGTGGATCTTGTTGGGAAACCCACTTGTTTGTCAAAGTTGACCCACTTTTCAAGCTGCCTTTTCGGCACATGTGAGGACAGACTCTCACGTCAGCCTGGCTGTCTGGGGCCGGGGGCAGGGAGGAGGTGACAGTAATGGGGCGGGGACCTCTGATGACACAGGGTGGAGGAGGGCGCACAGTGTCCTACCGGCTCCGCCCACGGCATCTCTGCTTTCCCAGGAGAAGCCGCTCCTGCAGATCTCGGCCTACTGCAGCTATAACTGGGGTGCCCCGGGCCTGGACGGCAGCGTGGCAAAGAGCTTTGAGAAGTGCGCCGTCGAAGCTGTGAGCTCGGCCTGCCAGGTAACCAGCGGCCGCTCTGCCTGGTGCTGGCACCGGGGAATGGGGAGTGGGCGTCCCCTCACTGGCCTCGTGGAGTGGTTCTGAAACCTGGTGTCCTCCACCCAGTCTTTGACACACGCTGCTCAGCTGGCTGCTACTGGATGGCTGATGAGGGCGTGGCTGGTTCATTGGGAGAATTGTTTCCCTGCAGGAGACCCCTGGTCAGTTCTGGCCAGCGCACCACATGCTGTCTACCTCTCCCCACCCTCACTCGTCTAGTGGAGGCCTGTGTGCTGCCGAACAGGCTTCAGCAGAACTTCCCAAGCCAGACGGACCAGGAAGAAAGATCTGGCTGTCCACTTCTAAGAGTCAGCCCCGGAACATAAATCTTCTTCCGGATCATAAGGCTATGGGGCTGGCGCAGGCCTGGGCAGCTTTCTGCCCCATGGAGCTCAGGGCCGCTGGGTGTGCATGAGTCGGGGGCCCAACTAGAAGGCAGTGGGATGGGTAGCGTGACAAGACTCTCACTCACAGGCAGCCTGGAATCAGACCCCCTTGCGGGCAGCCCCTGAAGGGCCCTTCTCTGTGTGTCTGCCACACTGGCTTCTCAATGCGTGCACTGTGAGCCTCCAGGGCTCTGACCCGGTTACTGGAGGAAGAGTTGCGTCACATGTTTTACTCACCTGTTCTTTTGAGGCCATGCACGACTCATTACAGCGCTGAAATAGCTGCGTGTGCGTGCGTTATTCACATCGGCTATTTAAAATCCCGAACCGGAGACCCATGAGATCATGGCCCGTAGACAGCCTTCAGACCTGGAACCAAATTAACCCCATGGCTCGGCCTTCAGCCAGATGGTGGACAGACTTACAAGGAGAATTCGACCACCAGGGAGCTACCCACTCCTTTGGAAAGCCTTTGCCCAGGTTTAAAGCTGACAGTGGGGAGAAACAGGCAGGAGGTGGGAAGAGAGCCGCTACATTGGGGGTACTACAGTCAAAGTCAGAGCGACATGCATGTGAATTCCCAAGTACGTGTTCACTCAAGGCACTGAATAAATAAATGCTAATCAAGAAAGCCCTCTAACTCTCCCCCTCTCTCAATTGTCTGGTAGTCTCAGACCAGCATCCTCGACAGAATTTCTTTGCGTGATTTACGGAAATTCGGCAACCTGCTGTCTGCTGTGATCACGGAGTCCTGGCCAGTGAGCAACGGGGAGGCCGTGCAAGATGTGGAGGAGGTTTTAAAGCACCTGTTCACGGGTCCAGACATCAAGCAGCTCTTCAAACTGTATGGTGTGTGGTGTGTGGGGCCATCCATGGGGGTCCACAGGCTTCCAGGAGAGCAGAGGGGAAGGATATTTGAGTAGGAGGGCGGGCTGTTGTTTGATAAATGCAGCAGCTTGGGCGAGGGTCCAGGAAGGCTCAGGCTGTCTTGCGTGGTCAATAAGAGTGAACCCTAGAAGCCACGGTTCCTTCATTGAGCGCCTACCGTACACGAGCCTCTGTGCTGACATCCCACTGAGCTGACGCCAACTCAAAGTGGCTCAGTGTGTGCCGTTGGCTTGGCTGTGACCTCAATGGATGCAGATCACTGGGCCTTTCCTCCCCACTACGCACTGCTGGGTGGGTGGGATCGAACCTACTGTTCGTCAGAGTCTCTGTCAGATGACCATCCTTCAGAAACCTCGCCGTGCCATGGGCCCTCCCCCAGGCCGTAGCCGTCTTCAGTTTGAAGAGCGGGAAGTCAAATGACGTGAGTCTGGTCCGAACACCGCATCCCTCTCATTCTGAGAGCAAAATAGGACATGCAACCCGAGTCCCTGCCTCACCGAAAACACAGTGCTGTTCGCACTCCCGGTCCTCGCCCACAGATGCAGGTCATGATCCCGCCATGACGGGTCACACAGCGTGATTCCTTGCTCCCAAAGTGCCCCCTGCAGAGCAGCATGCATTCGCGGTTCCTTCAAGTCTGTTTCTGTGACCAGATAGCTTCCTTTATCGTTGAAAAATACTCTGCTGTATGAATCATAACACAGTTTATCTATCAACTTGTTGAAGCATATTTTTGTTTCTTCCAAGTCTTGACATTTATGTATAAAACAGTATATGTTTTTATATCTCAAATAAAACTCAGAGCGAATAGTATTATACGCCTTGCCGTTGAGCAGCGTCTAACCTATAGCGACCTTGTAGGCCTGTGGTGCTGCCAGGCTGTCATCTTGGCAGAGGAGACAGCCACTCTTTCTCCTGTCAAGTGGCTGGTGGGCTTGAACCACTGACCTTTCAGTCGGCAGGCGGATGCTTACCCAACTGTGCGGCCGTAATCTACCACCCTTCACAGTGCTGTACCATGTATCCTAGATCACAGAGAAAGAACTTCCAGTGGTTTATCGTTAAATGTTTCAAAAATCCTGTCCTCAAAATTGATCCCAAATTCACATTCCAAGTTTTGTGGGGCAGCCAAGACCTACGGAATGTCAAGTCCCCTTGAGCTCAGGTCGCTGTTTCTGTTTTCCCCAATTCTCAAAATGCCGCCTTGGCCATGTGAATCTGGCCATCGGGCAGTTTATGTCTCTGCTGTCGACCGTCTCACCTGGGCGGGGGGTTAAGGAGATCACGTGTAGTTTAAGGATGGTCTTCAGTGAGACGGTGAGGTTGTGGTGCAAGTTGTGGAAACCTGAAATTGTGGGGAGCCTGGATTTGGGGGAACTCATGCCCATGAGCAAGGAAGTTGTTTGGGAGATGGAAGTAGTTGAGGCTGGACCCCAAGGGTGAACATTTGAGGTTTAGACGTGCTTAGCAGACGTTGATGACTGCACCTCAGGTGCAGGAAGTTGGGGCAAACAAAGAGGAGGATGTTGGGGACTCACAGGTTTCAAAGACATCAGTCAATGGGGCCACAGTCTTACTGATGTTCTTGCCCTGATCAGGATCCGACGAGAAAACGTTAGCAAACTTGACCGAGGACGGCCAGAGGCTGATGGGCACCGCGGACTCTGTGTTCACAGACGTTGTTGGGGACCTCCTAAGTGGGCAGATTTTCGTGCGACAACTGGAGCTGCTTGAGAAGCACAAGGCTCAGTTTCTCGACATCTGGGAAATAAGTATGTGTCGCGCAGAGGAGGGGACTTGAGCCTCCCGAGGACTTAGTGGGACAAGGGGTGTCCGAGCCCGCGTGTGCGTTTTAGTAAAGAGGCGAGCGGTACAGTGAGTAGCTCAGCTCTCCAGTAACGTCACAGAGGTTTAGGTTTCTCGGGGGCACGGTGGGGAAGAGATAAAAAACGGGCAAAGTCAGGGCACGTCCTCCTTTTTTGTTCTGGGGGGCTCTCGTGTGGAGGCGCTGTGTCAGCAGAGTGGCTGTGCCAGTTGCCCCGGCCGCGTAGATGGAGCTCGGGCAGAGGGAGCCGGAAGACGGGGTGCTGGGGAGAAGCATGTGTTGGTCTGATCTGTGGGGTTACCTCTTTGGTTCTTTTTTCCCCAGAGAGTAAAAGTCTTTCACCCCAGGATAAAGAACGCGATATGAAGGCTGCGCTGGACTGCAGAACGAATGAGCTGCAATTTTTAAAAAGGGAGAAACAATATATCGATCATCTCTTGAGCCTGTGTGAGAGAGTGAAGCATCTGATAAGAGGTAGCGTGGCGTAACCATCTGAGGGGTCTCCTGGAGAGAGGGGCGAGAGCTGACCGCCACAGCAGTGCTTTGTGCACTCCCTTCTGAAGGGAGGGCCAGCGTTGCCTCTTTGCCACAGCTCCTTTTGGTATTTACCCCAAAGTCTCTACATAATATGCTCGTGAGCTCTGGGGTTCTTCAGGGGTGAGCAGACACACTGTGGGCAAGGAGGGTTCAGAGCTGTCTGTTCTCGCTCTCATGACACCCCGTCATCTCATTTCAATTAGACCACTCTTCAGGGTTTAATTTACCACAATGCTGAGAATGGATGTTCATAATGCAGCTATGAGGTAGACTATGGTTAATTTCGTTTCTTGCAAAGCATTTGTTTTCTCAAGAATTGTGGTCTCTCTACGTGTGCTTTGTCCTCTGAGTACGAGGGTGGATTTCTGAGTCGTTGCTGTCAATCCAGCTCTGACTCGTAGCGACTCTGCGTACACTAAGGCCCTGCCTGGTCCTGCACAACTTCACAGTTGTGATGTCTGAGCCCACTGCTGTCATCACGGCGCCAACCCATCTCCGGAAGGTCTTCCTCTTTTGAACTGACCCTCCCCTGTTCCAAGCTTGACGTTATTTCTCCAGGGGCTGGTCTCTCCTGATAGACAACATGTCCAAAGGACACGAACCCAAGTCTCACCATCTTTGCTTCTCAGGAGCATGCTGGCTCTCCTTCTTCCAAGACACAGACTTGTTCTTCTGGGAGTCCATACTACTTTGTATTGTTTCCGCCGACACCGTAATCCAAATGCATCTCTACTCTTGGTTATTCACTGTGCAGTTTTCATATGCAGGCGAGGCAATGAAGAACACCGTGTCGGGGGTCAGGGCACCGTAGTCTGCAGGGTGGCACCCTTGCTCTTCAATGCTTGGAAGAGATCTCTACGGCAGGTTTGTTCATTGCGGTGCATCCTTTGATTTCCTCCCCACCACTTCGCTGCCGGGCGATGGTAGCGGCACGTCAAGTGGGGTCCTGGACAGCTTCCGTCTTTCTCCTTGTGTCATGATGGTGTCTGTGGGTTCACTTGTGAGGATTTTTGTTTTCTTGACCCTGAGTTGTGATCCGTGCTGAAGGCTGTGGTCTTGGATTCATCAGAAAGTCTCTTCAGTCCTCCTCGCTTTCAGCAAGCGCGTCTTGTGCCATCTGCATCTGTCGCGATGCCGAGTTCTTCATGGCCCAGCGTCCGGGAGCATTTGCTTGGCACACAGCTTGAATGAAACACGGTGAAAGGACACAACTCGCACACAGACTTCCTGATTTAGACTAGGCAGCCTTCCCTGGCTCTGTAGACCCCCAGCCCAAACCCAACACCTGCCATTGACTCAGAGAGGCCGGATTTCCTCTCACAACAACCAGTTTGAGCTTCAGAGGGAATCTCCTCAAACTGGACTGAACGTCCATCCCAGCGTCTCCCTTCATCCTCAGGGATCGATCTCCCATATCTCTCGACTTCACTGCACACCTGTGTTATAGTAGAATGTCTGCTCTAGTACCTTCACAAGAAAGGGACTGCTTAAGAGGTTAACATTTCAATACTTTCTGTATCTGAAAATGTCTACTCTTGTATGAGATCGATCGTTCAGCTAGGGGTAGACTTGTACCTCCAGACCCCAACCAAACTCACTGCCAGGCCGGTTGATGCCAACTCACACCGACCCTGGAGGGCAGGCTAGAGCTGTCCCGTGAGCCTCTGAGCCTGGAACTCCTCGGGAGTGGAACGCCCAGCTTTCCCCTGCGGAGGCGTTGGTGGTTTCAGACCAGCGCTCTCTCTCAGGTCGCTTCTCCACCCGCAGGGCTTCTAGAATCACACCGAGGACTTAGAAAACGACAGAGTAGAAGTGACCGTCCTTCAGGATTTTGAATGTGCTGCTCCATGATGCTCTAAAAAGTTGCTGTTATGAAATCAGGTGCAATTCCAACTACTGATCCCGTGCATGGCATCTACTTGTCTTCCTCTAAACTCTTGAGCTATTTGTTGTCTCCGGGGTCGGAAATGTCACAGCCGTGCGCCACCGTGTAGCTCTGCTTTCTCTCCATTGTGCGGTTGGTGGAGGGGAGTCTTTCTAATTGTGTGTTCTTGGGTCTTCTCTTGAGTTATCTCACTGATTATCTTCTTTCATCCTTTTTTCCCCTTGCCATATTATTAAGTGGATATTGGACTTAATGAGATGGTTATGTAATTAATTTTCATAATTTTTCTCTCCTATTTTCTTTTGGGGTTTTGCGTTGCTTTCTGAAAGCTTTTCTCAACTTCCCTCAACTTTTCTATCGTATTTCTCACTTTGAATTCTCATAGACAGTTAACTTACAGGCACCCTTTTTTCCATGAATGGTACTTTTTCAGTTGCCTGCTCTTGTTCCTGTTGTCTTTCTGAGATGATGAATGGTACTTTTTGTCTAGAGGCTTTCTTGTCCTTGAAGGATTTCTTGTTTCTTCTAAGTTTTTATCTGTTGGTTGTTTTGACAGCTCCTTTCATGTGAGAGTTCTTCATCTCTTTAGAAATCGTGTATTTAAGAGCGGAGCCTCTTAAACTGCCTTAAAACTGAGTGTGTGCATTAGGTCATTTGACTGTGCGACCCTCTAGAGCAGGGGTTCTCGACCTTCCTCATGCCGCCACCCTTTCATACAGTTCCTCATGTGGTGCTGACCCCCACCCCGACCATAAAGTTATTTCCGTTGCTACTTCATAACTGCAATTTTGCTAATGTTATGCATTGGGCAACCCCTGTGAAAGGGTCGTTCAGCCCCCAAAGGGGTTGCGACCCACAGGTTGAGAACCGCTGCTCTGGGTGATGTGGGCGAGCATGTTTACTACGATGCATTTTGAGGCCTTTTCTCTCCGGTTAGTCAAATTGCCCGAAGAGAAACTCCAGCCTCCTTTTGGGGTGGCATAGACAGACCGCAGGCTTTCTGGGAGCCCAGAGGGGAGAGGAAGGCAGGAGGGGTTCAATCCCAATAGGGACATACTCACTGAGGGCCACCCTCCCACCGTATCACTTTTTCATCTGATGTTTCCTGTATCTTACGTCTTTCTCTTTCTTACACCTTAAGTTTAATAGTATAAATTCTCTCTTAGCTTCCTGAGAGAGGTATCTGTCTGAGTATGCTGTTATCACATGTCTGTGTATGGAGCCAGAGAATCCTTTGTGTTGTTGCCTAGCAACTAAGCCGTCTATTTAGGAGGAGGTGGTGAATTACATTACATGCCACATGGAATGAGGGTCGGAGAGAAAGGCAGCATTTTGATGACTAAGGCAGGCTTTCAATTCAGATTTATTTATTTGATCACTACGTGCTAATTTTCTAGTTACTGGGATGGCCAGTGTGCTTGCTTGTAGAGAATTCAGGGAGAAAGACGAGTTGGGGCTGCCCTACCAGTCTGGTGGCTTCTGGCATTTGCCTAACACCCTGGTGTAGCACTGGGGTTTGTGGGGGTAGGTGGTTGGTGGAGAGGGGTGGGGACAGTGGGAGGGGGATGAGAGTGGATGTATTTTATCCTCTCTGCCCAGAGTTAGACAGCGCCGTTTATCCTGTGCCTTGATAAACAAGTCCTAGAAGCAAGGGAAAGAGCTATTTCTCTCTATGGAGAAAAATGCCAGCAACGGTCTTCAGGCCAGCTTCCTCAGAGAGGTGAGGAGAGAAACAGGGAAGAAAAATCATACTGGTGGTCAGCGGTTTGACTTTGCTCATGTTCTTGTCGTTCCACAAGTGGACTTTGGAGAGATTGCGCACAGACATTCGGAAGACCTTGGCAGCAAGAGACTAAACGAGGTTGTGAAGGTGAGAGCACCCCCCTGCTTCCAGGGGGAGCTCACAACACACTACCACCTGAGCGCCCGGGTCCAGGTAATGGGGAGAAAGGCATGCTTGCTGAAGGACAGCCACATCTTCCAGATGTTTTGGAAAGAGGCTGCCGAGTCACTGACGGGGCCTGAAGAGCAGGTGCTCCACCTGGAGGACGTGTACCACCGGTTGTGTGTTCCCTGTTACCAAAGGTTCACTAGACTCTACCAGGCTCTCAAGGCAGGAGAGGTCACCTTTGCAGAAATCAATGTCGTCTTCAAAGACTTTGTCAATAAATACAGTGACCTGACTTCAGACCTCTGGCTCATGTGCACTGTGGACCAGAGTGATCAAAAGCACTGGGTCAGGGAGCGGGTTGAGCAGATCAAGGAATACCATCACCTGCACCAGGCTGCATCCTCGGCCAAGGTCATCTTGAAGATCAGAGCGAACCTGGGCCTGACTGGTGACTTCAGTGTCCTCCACACTCTATTACAATTTGTAAGTTTTCTTCGGCGATGCCTGGGGGATGGGAGGTAGGGCTGGGGACTTCACCTCAGGGACCCTGGCGGTCCACAAGCTTTCTGGTTGAAAAAGGCAGACAGGCCGCCCCCAGGGTCAAGCAGCTCCCTCCCATGGTCATGCTAGGGTAGCTCCTGGTGCCTGGACAGGCACTGGCGCCCGCTCGCCCTGTTTGTGAATGGTGCGACTGCTCCTGCGAAGGGAGAGTTGGCTCGGTCTGGTCTGAGGATCACACAGTTAGGAAGGGGTGGTCACCCTTTTGCAGTGGACACACTTGTAACCAGTGAGTTGGTTTCCTTTGGTTATATGGGATAAAGAGACATGAATTTCGTTGGCTAGCCAACCAGATCTCCTAATTGTAGCCAGAAGAAGCGGAAACAATATACATTTTTCTGTTAGTCTTTTGTTTCCTGTCTCTTTTATGGGAAACATTAATAAAGAAGCTTATTCTGTGAGCTGTATTATAACATAAGGAACCTGGGTGGAGCAACAGTTGAGCTCTTGGCTGCTAATCAAAAGCTAGTCGGTTCAAACCCACCAGCTACTTCCCGGGGCGAAAGGCCTGGCAGTCTGCTCCCATAAAGACCAGAACCCAGGCAACCAGAGGGGGCTGTTCCCGTTGTCCTGTGTGCACACGGCCAGCGTTGAGTCCACAGCACACAGCAGCACAGAGGGCCATCATAGACGGGTGCCCCTGATGGAGGGCACGCACACAGAAGGCCCCGTGTTCACTGCTCGGAGTCCTAGCGTCTTCGTCTTCGGGTTCAGAGCAGGAAGAGGAGTGATGTGTGATCAGCAGGGTCGCTGTCAGGCTTTGATTTTCTCAGTTCACGTAAAATGCTTGGCAGAGGACTGGGCATACGAATGAGGAGGTTCGTGCTCAGGGAGTGGGGTGCGAGGAACAGGGGGTATGTTTTATAACTAGAGAGCCACGCATTGGGCTGATAACCAAAAGGTTAGCAGTTCCAACCCCGCCGCCCCAGGGAGAAAGATGAAGCGGTCTGCTTCTGTTAGGAATTAAAGTCTAAACAGGATCGCTGCACATTAAAAGGGCCTCTACTACAAGTGTGTTTGGACTGGAACGTACATAGGGCCACTCTGAGCGCCAAATAGGACTTTTTTGCGGTAACGCAAGTAGTGTTGAGCCTCTGGGCGATGCAATGGTTGACATCCGATGCCGAGCGACCTCAAGTCCACGCAGAGGCACCAGGCCGGCTGGCCTGCTGGTCTGTGGAGGGGCGCAGTTCGACTCTGCCACACAGCGGTGGGCGTCAGCGCGGCTGCTCCAGGATAAGCGCGTCATCCCTGACGGCCTGCTGCCCCGGCGGCACCCGGACTGGGTGTTTTGGGAGGGAGGCCCCCCTCTGGGTGGGCCAGTTGCTGCTCTCAGATGTGGGGGTTCAGCAGAGCCCTGTCTTGCAGACCGAGGCCTTTGACTCCTTCCGCCATGAAAAGTTGGCCCGCATGAACCATCAGCTTATCCGTGTCAAAAGGCTGGTCCAGGACATCAGCGGTGACCGGTGCCAGTGCCTGGAGGAGCTGTCCCTGAGGAAGGAGTTCATTAGCTGGGTCCAGGAGACCCTTAGAGGTAAAGCCAATGGCAGGGGGGGGGAGGCAGGTGTCTGGCGAGAGAGCTCCAGGTGGTTCCGTGGGTGGTTTTCCAAAACCTGCAGGAAACACCACCCCATGGCCATGCTGCCTCGAGGGCAGAGCCCTGAGCTCTTCGTTCTCCAGGTAGCAGAGCAGTGTGTGGCTCAGTGCTGGGCGAGGGAGTTGATGTCAGGGCAATGGCTCTCTTGCCCGGCACAAAGCTCCCGCTTTGCCCCTTCCCACCACCCGTGGGTGCGTGCTGTGAACACATGGGATTGAGCCCTTTCAGAGCTTGCCCTTGCCTTGTCCTCCACCCGGTGTTTTAGTAGCGGGCAAGGCAAGCTCCGCCCACAAAGAGACTGCCCGAGGGCATCCTGGGTGCTGTCGTGCATTTGGTTTCTGTCCAAGGGCCAGGCAGCCTGTGCCACTCCTGCCCTGTGTCTTAGCTGCCACTCACAGCTCACTCATGGACGGAGTCAGAGAGGGCGTCGGCAAGAAGAGGGGAGGGGGTGCCTGGTGCACAGGGAGAGGTTGGCAGTAGGGATCCTGTGGACTCTGAGACTGGGGGCTCCGTGGAGGGCTGTAGGTACTGTCCCCTGTGGGAGCAGAGGTCAGGAGTCTCCATATTCCCATGGGAGTCTCTGCTTTCTACCAAGGACTGCCCACTTGAACCCGCCTCCCCTTTGCTGAGCAATCAGCCCACTGAGAATGCAGCTCAGTTCTTCTAGAGTGTGCTCCCCCTCAGCCTGGCTCTTTTTGTATAAAATGCGGATGTTGTGTGGATTCAGTGGAATGGGGTGTCATGAGCCTGCCTAGTCTGGTGCCCGGGACATTGCTTTGCTCAGTAGAGGTTAGATGCCATTGTGTGCTGTCATTTGAAGTAGACCGTGGATAAGCACTATGCACCCACTGGATGTCCACTGAGGACTTCGAAAAGGATGTTGCTGAGGCCAAGTCTCTAGTGCTGACCTCGTCTCTCCTCTTCCCAGACATGAACGGGGTCAAGGTGTTTGTGGACCTGGCTGCCATCTCAGCAGGTGAGAACGACATAGAGGTGGACCGTGTGGCCTGCTTCCACGATGCCATGCAGGGCTATGCTTCAGTGCTCTACAAGCTCAGAAAAACAGCAGGCTTTGCTGAGTTCATGGACCATCTGAGAGAGCTGTGGAAGGCTCTGGAAAATGACCCACACCTGCCCGAGAAACTGGTAAGCCTCTCCGTTCTGGTACCCGCACAGAACTGAGTTTAAGAAAGCCTGGCTTATAGCATGAGGAGATAATGTGCAAATTATAAAACACACTCAATGCGGTAGCTTTTCAGGAAACTGTTTAAAAGGGTTTTTAGAAAGCATTATTTTCTATACAGATGTTTTATTCCTCGTATGTATACAGGGTACAAAATTTCATATAACAATATTAATTCTGACCATACAAAATACGTGGTAAAAAGACTGAGTGGGCTTGCTAAAATGTTTCTAAGGCTTTTCCCCGAATGGTAGTAATTTGTTATTTTGCTAAGTATACTTCTGGTATTTTCCATATCTGCCACAAGTGGAAAAGAAACATTTGCATTTTAAAAAGTGGATGTCAAGAGGCTCTGAAACTTGCTATTTATCATAGAGTAGCTAAAGCGGATGGAAGAAATGGTGAAGTCAAAAAGCTGAAGAGGGGCAGCTCAAGAAGACAAACTAGGATGTTATGAAATGTGCAAAGACATGGAAGCAGAAAACCACAAAGAGCACGCTAACTATCCCCGGAGCGGAAAGAACCACAGGACAAAACTCAAGAGCTGAGCTGAAATCCTGGAAGAGTCTACGGCCAGAGTATTGAGCGCTGCAGGAAGATCAAACGATGGAAACACGCAGCGTAACTATCGGAAAGAGCTGGTTGACATGCAAACATGTCAAGAGGTGCTGTGTGTCAAGAACTGATGGTACCGAAGGAAGAAGTCCAAGCTGCACTGAGGGCATCATTAAAAACCAAGCTCCTGAAATTGACAGAAACCAATGGAAAGGTTCCAACAAAGTGCTAAGCACTAGAGACACTCATTCATCTCTGCTAAGAAATTTGGAAGACAGCTGCCTGGCCAATCAACTGGACTCAATCACTATCTGTTCCTGTTCCAAAGAGAATGCGGACACTAGTGACCCACAGCTCATGCACGTTCAGTGGTGTTGAAGATCATTCAACACCAGTGGCTGCCTTGTATTGAAAGGGAGCTACCAGCAAAGTAAGCTGGACTCAGAAGCGGGTGGGGCACGAGGGAATCTCGGCTGATGGAAGCCGCATCTCCGTGAAAGCAGAGACTATCAGAAGGATACTTGCATTTTATTGACTACGGAGAGGCATTCGACTGCGGGGACCATGGCAAACTACGGATAGTCTTGAGAAGAACAGGGATTCCAGAACGTCTCCTTGTGCTCCTGCAGAACCTGTCCTTGGACCAAGAGGTCATCATTCAAACAGAATACAGTATAGTTTAAACTCAGGGAAGATGTAATTCAGGGTGATAGCCCTTCCCCATACTTACTCAGTCTACATACTGAGCAAATCACCAGAGAAGCTGACTTATCGGAAGAAGGGTGGGCATCAGGACTGGAGGAAGGCTTATGAACACTTTTGAGCGTGCAGATGACACCACTTGGCTGGCTGAAACCGAGGAGGACTTGGAGCTTTTGCTGAAGAGCAGGGAGGGCGGTTCCAGTCTGGGCTGCACTTCAATATCCAGAAAACAACAGCTTCACCGCTGGACCAAGAGAGAACAACATGAAAAACGGAGAAAAGGTGGACCTTTTCAAGGGTTTCATCCTGCTTGGCTCCACCGTCAGTGCTTACGGAAGCGCAGCAAGGTCAGGTGATGCACTGCATGCAGGATCGCTGTTGCCCAAAACCTCTTTAAAGTTTTAAAGAGCAAGGATGCCACTTGGAAGACATAGGAGTGCCCGCCCTAAGCCAGGGCATCTTCACCAGCGTCGTATGCACATGAAAGTGGGAGACTGCAAAAGAAAGACCCCCAAACAACCAAAGCCCTGGAATTAGGTGCTAGGGAAGCGTATTGAAAGTATTGGGGCCTGTCAGAAGAAGAATCGGGTCTATCTTCAAAGTACAGCCAGAGCGCTCCTTAGAAACAGGACGACAAGACTTCATCTCACGTACTTTGGACATGGGATCAGGAGAGACCAGTCCCTGTAATTAGGACATCGCGCTTGGTGAAGAAGAAGACAACTTGACAAGATGGATGGACAAGTGGCTGCAACCATGGGCTTAAACAGGACAATTGTGAGGATGTCGCAGGGTAGGACCATGTTTCATTCTGTTGTGCGTGCAGTTGGTAGGATTCAGAACCAACAGTGTGCACCAGGGGCCTCCTCCACAGATCCAGATCCTATGGACACTATGTATGGGACCTCCCAGAGGACCCCGTGCTGCCCAGGCAGCTGGACCAGCCGCAGAACAGCCCTGGGGGGCGAGGGAGAAATGAGAACTGCAGTGAACACATGGACTGTTTGCATTTTCTCGGCTACAAGCTCAAATACAAACAAACACATCTGTGCCGGTTTCCCCAAAGTCTGGAACTTCCGCCTCCTCGCCTTGGACCGAGTGGGCTTCCCAAGGGAAGCAGGCTTCGTGTCTGTCCATCTTCATCACTGACTAAGGATGCAGGCCAAGGGCCCCACCCGCCAACCAGGGCCTGGCCATTAGTGGAGACTGGACACCGGCTTCTTAGAGATGTGGCAATACCAAGGGTCAGGCATGCTGTGAGGGAGGCGCACGAGCCCGTGGGAGCTGTTCCCAGTACAGTTGTGGGGGCGGGGTGGGGAAGGCTCTCCTGGGGGGGGGCTGCAGAGCCTGGACCTGAGGAAGGGACTTCTCCCGGGGAAAATGGAGAGAGAGAGGAATACTACCGGGAGCGGCGAAAGGCTATGATCATCTGACCCAGGGACCAATTTCTCGACTTCTCCCCACAGCGTGATTCTGCCAGGAACCTGGAATGGCTGAAAACAGTGAAGGAAACACACGGGTCCGTGGAGCTCTCGTCCCTGTCCCTGGCAACAGCCATCAACAGCAGAGGGGTCTATGTCATCGAGGCGCCGAAAGATGGCCCAAAGGTGCCTGAGCTCGGGTCCCAGGGGTGTTTAGGGGACATGCGGGGGCTCTGCCTCCAGTAACTGACCGCTCCCTCTGTGATGTGCCCCAGATCTCCCCAGACTCCGTCCTACACTTGGACCTTCCTGAGAGTCTTGGTGACCACGGGCAAGCACGACGGTACTCGTTAGAAGAGCTGAGAGAGCTGCAGAACAAGCTGATGCTGATGTCTGGCAAGAAGGAGCAGAACATGGTTGAAGTGGAGGTGTTCGCTGAGGTGAGTGCCCACGGCCACATCACAGGCAGGCCGGGTGCCCACCGCAGAGGTCGCATCAGTCTGGGCAGAGTGGCCACTGCTGAGTTGCTGGAGAAACTCAAAATGGCGTCAGCTTGGAGTTAATTGCTAAGAAGTCCCTGGAGGACAGAGCTAGTGAGTTTGCAGAATGCACGCCACCTACCTTCCCAGCCTGAGGGGAGAAGGGCAGCCAGTGCGGGCCTCAGGTGAGCTCGCCTCCTCTGTGGTCCGTGGGTGGTCTGTGCCTGGGCCATTGCCCGGACAACGGAGAGGCCAGTGGGTAGCTGGGTTTTTATTTTTCCACATGTTTGAGATGAACTCATGTCACTAAAGACTCCAGGCCCCCTTCCGTTTAGGGTTCCTTTTGGGGGGGGCGGTGAGGAGGGCACTCAGACTAGTATTTAGGTTCAAGGCGTAAGGAATCTGGAGGGATTTTCTTTTTCCATTTCAGTTTTTAAAGGAGCACGTAGTCACACAGCCCTTCTCAACAAGGGGATCAGCGAGAATGCCCTGCTAACCCCCTACAGGTGGTGATTTACCTCCGCCCATCCCCCTCCCTCCTTCCTCCCTATCTTATCCCTTCCCTCCTCCTCCTGTCCCCCCCCCAGCCCTGTCCCTGGCCTCCTCAGAGTCATCAAAGTCTTATCTTTTGGTGTGAAAACCACATTTCTTTGTCTTTGGTTTTCCTTATCATAATGGTGTTATTAAATATTTATCTTTGTAAGACTAATAGTTTGCTAAGCTTAATGGTCTCTAGTTTTGTCCATTTCTCATGGTGTTTAAAAGAATTGTCATTTATTGTTTTAATCACAGTTAAGCATTTATTTTATATGCTTATACTGTTAAGGGCAGAAGCAATTGTAGTGGTATTTCAGAAGCTATACCTTCTCTAAATGCAATATATGCTCCTAGATTTGAAAGAATGTTTAAAAATATATAATCTCTCCAAAAGAAAACATTCAGCTAAAGATACGTTTCCATGTAAGTCAAATTTGCAAGATATTTAAAGTAAAGCCTTCATGGGCTTTTCCACAGCACCCTGTACAGACACGTGCAGCTTCACTTTTGAGCAAGTTGTTCAATGACAAGTCCGTAATCTTCCACAAGTTCCTGAAAGCTTTGTTCACGTGGCATGCTTCTTTCTACTTGACTCATTTGCGTTGTTAGTTCTCCTGGTCTAAGACATTGTCTCATCGTAGCAAGGTCTGTCTGCTCTTTCTTCTATGGACTGACTGGTCTTCTGTTATCTCGTCTACAGCTTCTGTGTTGTTCAGTGTCACGCATGGCAGCTAACAGTAGTCGAAGAATTTCATAAACCTGTCTAGTATGCTGCTTATTGATTTTGAACTTCTTTTGTGCCTTTATTGCCATGTCTTTGACAAAGCTTCACAAACATGAAGTCTCTTAATGTCACATAGCTTTTAGATGGATCGCCTGCTGTAATATGAGGAACTGAAGGAGAGCCAATGTAGTATCTCTAATCTGTTTTAAGAAGTTGAGGGCCATGGCCTTGACATTGAAATGGAGTCAATATCCGCATCTTTCTTACACGTTACTGGGTTTTGTCTGGGTGCACATGGTAATTACAGACTGCCGTGTAGCCTCTAGTCGCAAAGAGCATAGTTCCACCCACATACTTCTCAAGTACTAGAAAGTAATGCCTCCTGTCATCATCCACATCAATAAAGCCAGCTGTTTTTATTACCCACATCAAAAAGGTCTGGAATCTCTCTCTTTTTTTCCAAAACCATTTTATTGGGAGCTAATACAGATCATATCATTCCATAGTTCAGTCACATCAAGCAGCATTGTACAACTGCTGCCACCATCAGTTTCTTTCTTTCTTTTTTTAATCCTTTTATTAGGGGCTCATACAACTCTTATCACAATCCATACATACATCAATTGTGTAAAGCACATTTGTACTTTCATTGCCCTCATCCTTCTCAAAACATTTCCTCTCAACTTAAGCCCCTGGCATTAGGTCCTCATCTTACCCCTCCCTCCCCGCTCCCTCCTCCCTCATGAGCCCTTTATAAATTATTATTTTGTCATATCTTGCCCTGTCCTGTCCGACGTCTCCCTTCACCCACTTTTCTGTTGTCCGTCCACCAGGGAGGAGGTCACATGTAGATCCTTGTAATCAGTTCCCGCTTTCCAACCCACTCTCCCTCTACCCTCCCAGTATCGCCACCCACACCACTGGTCCTCTCTCTCTTTTATGGAGTCTTTCCCGATATTCTTGAAGGCCTTCACGGGTCATGTCAGCTTTGTAAATCTGAAAGGGAAGGTTCTCTCCACCGATTGGACTGAGAACAGAGTAAGTATGGAGCAAGGTTCCGAATGGTTTGAAATCAACCTCCTTTTCTAGAAAAGATAGAAAATCATTTGTGCAAAATCCAGGTAGAATGAATGATCTGTCTAACGTTGCCTTCAACATCATTGACCTCTACACAATCAAAATTCTCATCAACTTTAGACGGATATTTCACGTGACATTGTTAATGGTGTACTAGCAATATCATATAAAAGAATATTCAGACCCTTGTAACCAAAAGCAGTTTCACTCATTTTAGTTCAGTTGCTGTCTTGGTATTACATTTGTACTCTGCCAACTTCTTCTCCACTGCATATATTCAACCATAAATTTCTCAATAGCACCAAATCCTGCTAGTTCTGAGCTGCGAGGACCCGTGGCCGAGAGAGCTCCTTGTTTTCTATTGATACATAGGATTCCATCATATGAATGTATAAGAGATTATCCATTCCTCTATAATCAGTCTTCCGTTGTTTCCATGTTTTTGCTATTATGAGCATTGCTGCGATGATCACAGCTAGCTGTTCTTTGTCTACTTGTGCTCTACTCTTTGCTTCTTTGAGGTATGTACCCACTCGAGGGATTTCTAGATCCTTAGGTGCTTGCATTTGCATTTGTTTAAGGGCATGCCATGCCGACTGCCAGCGTGCGGTACCATTCTGCCGCCCCACGGGGACAGCAAAGTGTTCCAGTCTTTCTGCTGCTGCTCCAGCATTCATTACGTTCTCCTTCCTTGATTTTGCTAAAAAGCTCTGTGTGAGCAGACTTCCATGTTGGTCTGATTTGTGTTTCTTCGGGTGAGTCAATGCGAACACTCGGGTGTTCGCTGCTTTGATGTTGTCTTTGGTAAATTAGACATGTCTTGTGCCCAGTTTTTGATTGGGTTATTGGTGTGTTTCTTGTCATGATGTTGAGTTTTCTATAGAGTTTGAAGATTAGCCCTTGTTCTGATGTATCCCCCCTGCCACCCCAATCTCTTTTTCATTCGTTTGACGAAGTCTTGTGATATGCATAACTGTGGTATTTTCTAGCAGGCCCCAGTCCTTTGCCTTCTATAAGGTGGATCATTTTTGTTTGGTTTGGTAGTGTATATGCCTGGAATTAGGATCCTTAAGTTTGTCACTCCTTTTTCTTTGATGGTCCTTATAGCTGTATGGTTTATAATTATACCTTTGACCCATCTTGAGTTTGTTTTTGTATGTGGTATGAGGTATGGGGGGAGCCCTGGTGGAGTAGTGATTACGGGTTGGGCCGTGATCCCCATGGTCAGCAGTTCGGAGACCAGCAGCAGCTCTGTGGGAGAAAGCCTGGGTTTTCTACGCCCATAAGCAGTCACAGTTTTCGAAGCCCCCAGGAGGCAACCACGAGTCAGCGTTAACTAAATGGCAGTCAGTCTGGGTTTTTACGAGGTAGGAGTCCTAGTTCACTCTTCACGGGTGAAGATTCAGGTTTTCCAGCATCGTTTGTTGAAAAGACTATCACTTCCCCCACTTACTGTGTCTTACTCCTTTATCCAAAATGAGTTTTCTGTCAGTACTTGGTTGGATTTCTATGTTCTTGATCTAATCTACTGGTCTTCAGATCTGTTGTTGTATCAGTACCAGGATGTTTTGATCACCATGGCTAGAATAAGAGGTTTTAAAGTGTGGGAGTGAAAGGCCTCCTACTTAAATATATATTGTTTTATTTATCTTGATTTTTTTCCCCTTTCCATATAGAGTTGGCAGTTACTTTACCCCGATTTCTATGAAGAATTGTGGTAGGATTTGGATTGGAATTGCACTGCATTTGTAAAGTATTATTGGTAATACTGACATTTTCAAAGTGTTTACTCTGCCTATCCGGGCACATGGTAGCTTGTTCCATTTGTGTAAGTTTCTTTTGTTTTCTTGTAGGAGTGTTTTATACTTTCTTTTGTTTTCTTGTAAGAGTGTTTTATAGCTTTCCTTGTATAGGTCTTTTGTTTCTCTGGTAAGATTTATTCATAAATATTTTATCTTTTGTGTAATTATTTAAAAGGTATTGCTATTTTGCTATCTTTTTTGGCAGCAGCATCTTTAATATGCAAGAATTTAACTGATTTCTGTATGTTGATCTTATAGCCTGCTATGCTGCCTAAATTTTCAATTTGAGCAATTCTTTAATGGAAACTTTGGGATTTTCTAGAAACAGGGTTATATCATCTGTGAATAAAGAAGAGTTTTATTTCTTCTGTGCCTATGTGAATACCTTTAATATCTTTTTATATAACTCTAGCTTAAACTTCCAGGACCATATAAAATAAAAGTGGAGATAAAGGGCAACCGGTGCTAGTTCCTGTTTGAAGAGGGAATGTTTTTTATTTCTTTCCATTAAGTGAGGTTGGCGGTTGAAAACCACCAGTCTGCTCCACGGCTTTCTACTCCCATAAACATTTACAGTCTTGGAAACCCACAGGGGCAAGTTCTACCCTGTCCCAAGTCCGCATCGACTCGGTGGCAGTGGGTTTGGTTTTAGTGAGATGTAGGCCATTGATTTTCCATATATGGCTTGTATCATGTTGAGAAATTTTCCTTCTGTTCCTATTTTATGGAGTTTTTTTGTTTTGTTTTTTTACCAGAAATGGATGTTGAATTTTATGAGATGCCTTTTCTGCATCAATTGCTATAATCACATGGTTCTTTTT